AGCTGATCTTACACAGGACTCATACTGAGAGACTGCTAGCATCTCTTCTTTCATGCAGCTGTGGTGTGTGCACATGACTCTGCCCCACCCCTTCTCTGGTATATTTTCCATCACAATATACATCAGGAATTTACAATTTTAAACGAATAGAGCATGTGATAATTTTTTCAATTCTTTTTTTTTTTTTTTTTTTGGTTTTTGAGACATGGTTTCTCTATGTAGCTTTGGAGCCTATTCAATTCATTTTTTTTCCAACTTTTAAAATTTGAATTAGAAACAGGATTGTTTTACATGACAATCCCATTTCCCTTCTCCCACCCATCCTCCCCTACCGCCCCCCAACTAAAACCCTATTCATTTTTTTTTTAAATTGATTCTTTGGGACTTTCACATTATACACCCAAATTCCCCTCATCTCCCAGTCAGTCCCTCCATATCTGCCCTGACTCTTGTAGTGTTCCCCCAAAACAAAACTGAACAAGAATAAAAATAAGACAAAATAAACAGTAATATTTTTTAAAAATGGAAAACACTTTAGTCCTCTGTCTTTCCTGATATTCCATTCATTTTAGTGGCATTGGGAGCTGCTGTGTATCATGCAGTATAATCTTTTGTCCAAAAAGCTTTAGTTGCAAATGTTCATTATGTAATGTACTGCTAGTCAGGTTCAAGGCCTCTGCTTTGGTACACCATCAAAACTGGTCCCCCATTAACATTTCTCTCCAATATCCTGCTCTTACCTTGAGTCATGAAGATCCTACAACTATGGGTCAGCAGGACCAGTCACTTCAAACACTTTGGCAGATCATAGATAGGGTAGATGTTGGAGTGTGCCAACTCCAAGACCTGGATGTGTCCCTCAGTGGCAGCTAAGTTGGTCAGTCTGGACCACTGGGACCACTCCTCTTAGGAGTCAGGTTCCCGTAGAACCATGGATCCACACATGGCCATATTGGCATTTTCACCATGGCCCATGGTAGCTGCAGATGCCACTCATATTG